AAGTTGGTAGAAATCATCTATTTCTTCTTCTTTGGCTCTGGTTGTTGGTGCATATATCTGAATGATAGTGGTATTCACTGGACTTCCTTGTATGTGTATAGATATTATCCTGTCACTGACAATATCAGGGGAAGATTTTTTTTTCATAATGCCCTATAGTATATTGCTTTTAAACTGTTCTCTCCCTCACTGGCTTCAATGCAGTATACATAATTTATCCAGTTTTTCTCAGTCTTACCCCAACCCTGATGTCAGTCTCATTCTACAACAGTCCTGTTCATTATCTTAAGTCAGTATCTCTTCACTCACTTAAGTTTCTCTACATTCTACAGCAAGTTTCAAAGTCTCTTCTGATATCCATTTTGGTCTTTTCTTTCTTTTCTATCTTTTTAATGACCTTTTGCTTTCCCCACATTTGAAGACCTACATGTCAACTCACAGTTTTTTGATCAGTAGTGTTCGAAGATTCAAATATATTCGTAGAAAGGTCTTTAAATTCAGGTAGGATCTATTCAAGTTTCTATTTTGCTCTTATACATATTCTCAGTTTCAACTTATATTTAAGAAATTGATGGTCTATTCCACAGCCCATGGTCTTATTCTGTTTATATTGAGATTCTCCATAGTCTCATCTACAGACTTGGTTTATTTCATTCTTGTGTATTCCAGTGAAGGAGGTCTGAAGTATAGTGGTAACTTACATTGTTGAAAAAAAAGGCATCTGTATCTTCTTAGTCTAGTAAAATTCTATCATGCACTCTCTGGTACTGTTTCTATACTGTGGCTATATTTTCCAATCCTCTTTCTTTATTCTGAAATTTTGCATTCCTATCATCAGTAATTATCAATGCCTCTTTTTTAATTCACTCTTTTATTTTGTCGTTAATCTTGAGGAAATATTTACAAATCATATTGGTTTTTCATTTGATCATACACATTTTATTTCATAACATTGTAATTGCTCATTTACATACATTTCGTAAAACATTAATTACAACAGATTAACATAACTATTTTATTTGAATAATATATGTTACCTTTCTCTTCACCTAATTTACCAATGTGTAGTCCCCCTCTCCCTCTCTTCTCATCCCTGGTAACCATTCAAAATGAATTCTTCCTATACATAAATGTTTCTTAAGCTTTTTACAATAGCTTCACAATAGTCTTTTTTTAATTAATATTTTTTTAATTGGGAAAAACATATTGGGGGTACAAGGAGGTGAGGGTTGGGGGCAGAAGGGTGAGGATGGGCCAGGATGCAGTTG